TGGGGCGCCAGCAGTCGCTGGGGCGCAGAGTCGCTGGGCGCAGAGCGGGGGCAGAGTCGCTGGTGGCGCAGAGTCGCTGGGCGCAGAGAATCGCTGGGGCGCAGATGTCGCTGGGGCGCAGAGTCGCTGGGGCGCAGAGTCGCTGGGGCGCAGAGTCGCTGGGGCGCAGAGTCGCTGGGTGCGCAGAGTCGCTGGGGCGCAGAGTCGGCTGGGACGCAGAGTCGCTGGGGCGCAGAGTCGCTGGGGCGCAGAGTCGCTGGGGCGCAGAGTCGCTGGGGCGCAGAGTCGCTGGGGCGCAGAGAGTCGCTGGGGCGCAGAGTCGCTGGGGCGCAAGAGTCGCTGGGGCGCAGAGTCGCTGGGGCGCAGAGTCGAGGGGACGCAGAGTCGCTGGGGCGCAGAGTCGCTGGGGCGCAGAGTCGCTGGGGCGCAGAGTCGCTGGGGCGCAGAGTCGCTGGGGCGCAGAGTCGCTGGGGCGCAGAGTCGCTGGGGCGCAGAGTCGCTGGGGCGCAGAGTCGCTGGGGCGCAGAGTCGCTGGGGCGCAGAGTCGCTGGGGCGCAGAGTCGCTGGGGCGCAGAGTCGCTGGGGCGCAGAGTCGCTGGGGCGCAGAGTCGCTGGGGCGCAGAGTCGCTGGGGCGCAGAGTCGCTGGGGCGCAGAGTCGCTGGGGCGCAGAGTCGCTGGGGCGCAGAGTCGCTGGGGCGCAGAGTCGCTGGGGCGCAGAGTCGCTGGGGCGCAGAGTCGCTGGGGCGCAGAGTCGCTGGGGCGCAGAGTCGCTGGGCGCAGAGTCGCTGGGGCGCAGAGTCGCTGGGGCGCAGAGTCGCTGGGGCGCAGAGTCGCTGGGGCGCAGAGTCGCTGGGGCGCAGAGTCGCTGGGGCGCAGAGTCGCTGGGGCGCAGAGTCGCTGGGGCGCAGAGTCGCTGGGGCGCAGAGTCGCTGGGGCGCAGAGTCGCTGGGGCGCAGAGTCGCTGGGGCGCAGAGTCGCTGGGGCGCAGAGTCGCTGGGGGCAGAGTGTGGGCAGAGAGTCGCTGGGGCGCAGAGTCGCTGGGGCGCAGAGTCGCTGGGGCGCAGAGTCGCTGGGGCGCAGAGTCGCTGGGGCGCAGAGTCGCTGGGGCGCAGAGTCGCTGGGGCGCAGAGTCGCTGGGGCGCAGAGTCGCTGGGGCGCAGAGTCGCTGGGCGCAAGTCGTGGGGCGCAGAGTGCTGGGGCGCAGGAGTGCTGGGGCGCAAGTCGCTGGGCGCAGAGTCGCTGGGGAGCAGAGTCGCTGGGCGCAGAGTCGCTGGGGCGCAGAGTCGCTGGGGCGCAGAGTCGCTGGGGCGCAGGTGCTGGGGCTCAGAGTCGTCTGGGCGCAGAGTCGCTGGGGCCGCAGAGTCGCTGGTGGCGCAGAGTCGCTGGGGCGCAGCAGTCGCCTGGGGCCGCAGAGTAGCTGGGGCGCAGAGTCGCTGGGGCGCAGAGCGATGGGGCGCAGAGTAGATGGGGCGCAGAGTCGCTCGGGGCGGCAGAGTCGCTGGGGCGCAGAGTCGGATGGGGCGCAGAGTCGGCTGGGGCGCAGAGCGCTGGGGCGCAGAGTCGCTGGGGCGCAGAGCGCTGGGGCGCAGAGTCGCTGGGGCGCATAGTCGCTGGGGCAAGTCGGCTGGGCGAAGAGTCGCTGGGGCGCAGAGTAGCGGGGCGCAGAGTCGCTCCATTATGTAACATTTTTGCGGCCCTTCAGCTCGAGAGCCCTGTTGGTGAGGAAGAGGTAGCAAGTGTTCCCAGGATGATGTCTAGGGCAAGGAGGTCAATTCCACACCTTAGGACTGCTTTCACCAAGAAATACAGAAGGGTGATTGTTGTTGGAGACACTCTTCTTAGGGGAACAGAGGGCCGTATTTGACGGCCTGACCCTACCTGTAGGGAAGTCTACTGCTTCCCTGGGGCAAGGGTCAGGCACGGTGCCGGGAAGCTTCCCAACCTGGTACGCCCCTCTGAGTACTATTCTTTTTTGATAGTCCAGGCAGGTAGTGACGACATTGAAGAGAGAAGCCTGAAGGCTATCAAACGAGACTTTAGGGGGCTGGGACGGTTAGTGGATGGATCCGGAGTGCAGGTGGTGTTTTCGTTTATCCTTACAGTGGCAGGGAGGGGTACAGAGAGTACACGGAAAGCCCACCTGTTAAACACGTGGCTCAGGTTTTCTGGATTCCCAGTGCCCTGAGCTGGTGGAAGGGGATGGGGAGCAGGATGTGGCCCTCACCATCCACGAAGAACTGGTTGGTGACCTGGTACGGCACTTGGATGTGCACAAGTCCATGGGGCCGGATGGGATCCACCCAAGGGTACTGAGAGAACTGGCAGAGGAGCTGGCCAAGCTGCTTACCATCATTTATCAAGAGTCCTGGCTATTGGGGGAGGTCCCAGTTGACTGGTGGCTAGCAAACGTGACGCCCATCTACAAGAAGGGCCGGAGGGCAGACCCGGGAAACTACAGACCTGTCAGTTTGACCTCAGTGCCAGGGAAGCTCATGGAGCAGATCCTCTTGGGAGTCATCACGCAGCACTTGCAGGGCAAGCAGGCGATCAGGCCCAGTCAGCATGGGTTTATGGAAGGCAGATCCTGCTTGACGAACCTGATCTCCTTCTATGACAAAGTGACGCGCTGGGTGGATGAGGGAAAGGCTGTGGATGTGGTCTACCTTGACTTCAGCAAGGCTTTTGACACCGTCTCCCACAGCATTCTCCTCAAGAAACTGGCTGCTCTTGGCTTGGACTGGCGCACGCTTCGTTGGGTTAAAAACTGGCTGGATAGCCGGGCCCAAAGAGTCGTGGTAAATGGAGTCAAGTCCAGTTGGAGGCCGGTCACTAGTGGCGTCCCCCAGGGCTCAGTGCTGGGGCCGGTCCTCTTTAACATCTTCATCAATGATCTGGACGAGGGCATTGAGTGCACCCTCAGTAAGTTTGCAGATGACACCAAGTTAGGTGTGTGTGTCGATCTGCTTGAGGGTAGGAAGGCTCTGCAGGAGGATCTGGATAGGCTGCACCGATGGGCTGAGGTCAACTGTATGAAGTTCAACAAGGCCAAGTGCCGGGTCCTGCACCTGGGGCGCAATAACCCCAAGCAGAGCTACAGGCTGGGAGATGAGTGGTTGGAGAGCTGCCAGGCAGAGAAGGACCTGGGAGTGATGGTGGACAGTCGGCTGAATATGAGCCAGCAGTGTGCTCAGGTGGCCAAGAAGGCCAACAGCATCCTGGCTTGTATCAGAAACAGTGTGACCAGCAGGGCTAGGGAGGTGATCGTCCCCCTGTACTCGGCTCTGGTGAGGCCACACCTCGAGTACTGTGTTCAGTTTTGGGCCCCTCGCTACAAGAAGGACATGGAGGTGCTTGAGCGGGTCCAGAGAAGGGCGATGAAGCTGGTGAGGGGCCTGGAGAACAAGTCCTACGAGGAGCGGCTGAGGGAGCTGGGCTTGTTCAGCCTGGAGAAGAGGAGGCTCAGGGGCGACCTTATTGCTCTCTACAGATACCTTAAAGGAGGCTGTAGTGAGGTGGGGGTTGGCCTGTTCTCCCATGTGCCTGGTGACAGGATGAGGGGGAATGGGCTAAAGTTGCGCCAGGGGAGTTTTAGGCTGGATCTTTGGAAGAACTTCTTTACCGAAAGGGTTGTTAGACATTGGAACAGGCTGCCCAGGGAAGTGGTGGAGTCACCATCCCTGGAAGTCTTTAAAAGACGTTTAGATGTAGAACTTAGGGATATGATTTAGTGGGGACTGTTAGTGTTAGGTCAGAGGCTGGACTCGATGATCTTGAGGTCTCTTCCAACCACTCCAGTTTTCTGGAGGAGCAGGGGGAGGGAGCAGGTCAGTAGCCGGCATGTGGAGCAGTGATTTTCATTATTGAAAATAACGCCTGTCCCTTTCTAACTTGGCATCTGATAAACTGTTCTCTGATTTCATTTTGCTTTCTTTAATTCTCCCTCAGGCACTGCTGTAGCTCAAGTGTGGTCTCCAATATTTATATCTTTCTGTCTCTTCTATTTTCTTGCTTGTTTGGGAAATACACCCAAGAGGACTGTGGGACTTGGGGAGGGTTAGAAGCAGAGGAGCTGCCACTTTGGATCAGTTGACCTAATCCGAGATCATCCTTTCTATCGATGCTCCGTCTCAGCAGAAAAGGAGACCATCCATCGCAGTGAGAAATGCACCTGTGCAGCTGTGCGGTGGAAACATCCTCCCCTTGCAGTACGAGGTTTGTTTTTTTTATTTGTGGTGAGATGTTTATCCAGGGGACCCCAGCCGGGTGCTGGTACGGGACTACCCACCGTGTGGGTGCTGAGCTGGGGCATCCCAGGCGTGATGTTGGATCGATCATCTTCTTTCTCTGGGCCTCAGGTTCCTCATCTCTGAGCAGAGAGCTAATTAGATCTGTTTCCCTCATCAAGTGCTTATGTAATGCCTCTCCAGCTGAAAAATGCTGGAGAAGATGCCTTGTTTTGTAGCTCAACAAGAGAAGAGAAAAGCACAACAGCTACCTCTGGACCTAGAAAATTCCTCACCAGTAGCTTCAAGTACATGGGAGAGTGTGTTCCTGTCAACAAGGGGCGCTGAGTGTGTGCCGTGCTTCAGGCAGAGACGCAAACAGATAATGCTGGGAAGAGTCCCTGCGATGGAAAAGGTCCCTTTCAGCTTATGGCCTGCGGTCTGATCTTGTTTTTTTTTTTTTTCTTGCCCTGGAGCCTAGGACCAGAATCGCTGGGTGTAAGCAGTTTTCACCTTGGAGGAAGGTGAATCTCAACCCCGTTTTCAACCTCCTTTCTACTCCTGCTTTTGTGCTCTGGGAGGTGGCTGTGCTTGGACCCAGAGCTTCCTGGGCCAGGCTATGTTGTGCAAACCTATCAAGAGGTGGCACCACAAGATTGCCTTTGTTCCTTTTTTTTTTTTTTTTAATTCTTTCTCCATTTTCTTTATTCACCCCAGCTGTTCTCTCACTTTTCAGCCCATTGCTGCCATCTGCCACTCAGCTGGCTGTGGGCACTCAGCTGTTTCGCCTCCAAGGCTCTCCTGGATCCAAAGCCATGGTCAGGGACCACGGGTCCAGGTTCAGCTGGGACAAAGCACCCGGGATAAATGCAGAGCATGGCACCAAGCCTCGAAGAGTTAAGAATAAAGAAGGACTGTCTGCTGTCTGAGAGACAGCCTTGCTCTCTTCACTCCTTCTCTCTTCAGTCCTTGCCTTCTCCTCTGCTCCCTGGAGGATCTGCTGAAGGGAGGCTGAAGGGAGCTACTTTAGCTCCCTGCCATGGTCCTGCTGGCGTACGAGGTTATGGGGCTGCTGTGCCCAGGCTCCCCGCAGCTGCCCTTTGGATGGTGCTCACCAACCAGCTGGGAAACTGGCTCTCGGGCACTTTGGAGAGGAGGTGAGAAGGTTTTGAGCAAGGGGGCAAACTGGCACCCCATGGGTTGTGTGGGACAGCCCCATAGAGACTGGGCCTGAGCCCATGGGATGCTTTGGGGAAGCCCAGAGCCAGATCCCACAAACGGATCCCACAGGCTCCCATCCAGAGAAAATTCGCCCCCGGCTTTTGAAGGCAGTGCTCCTCTTCCCAGCAGCAGCTTGGCAAACTGCAGCGGTGAGCTTCCTTTCCTAGGCTGAGCTGTTGGGCTAAATTGAATTCCATCCCTCGGAGACCTCTCCCTCAAACACACACACCCTCATTACGCTTTTCCTCTCTGCTGCTGTTTTTCCTAACACACCACCTTTTCCTGCATGGTCTCTGTCTCCTGTCTAGAAGGCTGTCTGCCACCGTGCCTCCAGCTGAACCTTTGGGGGCAGGGATTCCTTTTTCCCTTGTGCTCTCTTTGTTTCTCTCCTCTGCCAGAGGGATTCATTTATATTTCCCTCCTCACCTCTTTCCAAGCTCTTCTCTTTCACTATCCCCTTCTCCACTTGTCTTGACCCCTTTGGGGTAAGGGGAGGAGAGGAGAAGGGGTGGCACAGCTTGCAGATGTTGCTGATTCACGGTGGCATTCAGTGCAGCCCAAATGGTCCTCCTGTGCTCCACCTTCTCCAGCCTCCCCTCCCCTGCCACATCGTGGTCTGTCTCATGCCCCATCTCCAACGTTACACCTCTTGAGGGGCCTCTTCTCCCACACGTACGATGCTCTGCCTTCATCAAGCGATGGGGGCCATCTTCAGCCTCCGCTGCCTGCAAAGAGATGCTAAGGAACAGCCTCTTGCTGTGGGTACCTTGCTTTATAGGGTGGAGTCTGCAGTAGATGACGGGTTAAAAAAAAGCTCAGCACTGAAGCAATGGGATGAGGGACCTCCAAGAGGGAGCTGACATCCATCCTGGGAGCTGTGTGACCACTGGGATTGGGAGCTGTGGGTCTGATTGCTGGCCCCACGGCTGGCAGGGAGCACCCGGCCAGCTCGGAAATGCTCCGGCAGATCTGTGTGAGGAGCTCTGCTTCAGAGCCACAACACTGAATCACTCCAGAAATCCCCCGCCAGCCTAACCACAGACAGCAGGGAGAGGGGAAGGTGGGGAGACGTGTGGTGCTTCCATTTCCTACAACACAGCAAGCGTAAAGGGGATTAGGAAGGCAATGCTAGGGGAAAGAGGCAGAGATTTAGGAGGAAAGGGAACATTAAGATTGAGAGGGATAATATGCAGATTGAAGCTGCTGGGCTAGAACAGAAGAACTTCTCAGTCTATATATTTAGCTCAGTGAGGTATATAAACAGAAACCTACAGCCAGCTCAGCCACTTCTCCCCCAGCGGAGTGAGTCATCAGCCCTTGGATCTAAAGTTAGGTTCACGTCAGAGCTTACACACTCTCTCTCTCTCTCTCTCCCTCATTTTATTTTTCTCTTTCTATTTTGAAGGGTGTGGGAAAAGCTGGGCACCGTCTCCTGGAAGCAGCAAACACAAACCCGCGGCGGCAACAGATGCTGGACCTGCTGCCCCACCTGGGAGCGCCGTGGAAGAGCCTGCTGCTGCCTGGCCGCTCCTCTTCCCTGCCGGGTGTCTGGGGATGGGCTCAGCCCTGGCTGGTTGCTGCCCCTGGGGCTTGGCCATAGGATGCCTCTAAATCCAGGGCTGCAGGCTCAGCTTCCTCTCAGCCACCTGCAGACCTGCTGGGCAGAAGGATGCATCTCCTCACCCTGCAGCCTCTCTGCGTGGGTGATGCTTCCCCTTTCCTGCCCGTTGCCTCGCACCTGGTGCCCTCTCTGGTGCTGTTCACAGTGGATCTCATACTTACTGACCTGCCAGCCAGTGCTGCTGGCCTGGGTGGTGAAAGGGATTTGCTGTTCCACTCAAAAATTGCGGAGGAGACAGAGAGGGACCCTTGGAAGTGCTGTGGATGTGCGTGTAGGACCAACGTGTGCCATGCTCACATCTGTTCTATTCTGCTCCATCCCATCCCCAGGAGCTGACAGAAATCCTGCCTGGTGGAAGGGGTGTAGGGATGAGGGGCTCTGCTCTGGGTTTGTTTCTGTGCAGGAGCACGAGCTGCCCTAGGCTCCCTCATTTCGCCACCAAATTTGTGATGGGATGCACGGCATGACTCCATTTCCCAACCCAGCCTCCTTCCCTCTCCCCTCCTTTTGTGCCTACCCCATGTTTTTGTAGATCTGGAGGGTTTGTCTGAGTGGGAGTTCAAGCATTATACCTGATCCTTGTGGTGTGGGTAGACTGGAAAACAAACAGGCATGGTCCTGGGATGTATGCATCAGGGATGACCCGCAGGTTGTCCTTCTTATGTGTTTATGTGCATCCCTGTCCCCCTCTGCGTGTTCCCTGCATCTTCCTTCACAATTTCATTTCTTTTGCCTCTCCTTGCTGCCCTTTCTTCCTCCTCTCTCACCCTCTCCCTCTTTCTCCTGCCCTCCTCCTCATTCTCTTTTTCTCATTTGATATTCATGCATGAATAAATTCAATTGCATTTTTTCCCTGTTCCCCCTGAAGGGGCTTGTTGGTGAATTGCAGGCATCTGAAATCATATAATGCTCAGATTCATCATTTCGGGGACAGAATTGAAGCCCTTCTGCTTCCCAAGAAGAAATCGCAGATGCCTTTTTATGAGGAGAGGTAATGGCAAATATCCTGTGGCTGGTGAGGGGGAAGACAGAAAGCCAAGGGGATTGACCTCTGCAGCCAGGGTGGACTTATAGGGACGAGCAGACTAGAAGGTCAGCCAGCCCCTCTGGCATATGTAGGGCTGGGGAAGGCACACACAGGTGTGTGTATTATGGGACTGCGACTGCCTATGTTGCCCATGCCAGGCACCAGAGCATTCAGAGAGTTCATCTCTGCCTCAGCTGACTTTTGGGATGATGAAGCTGGACTCAGCGTCCTACACCACGCAGTGCGAGACAAGGAGAGCTCCCACCAGCACGAATATTTCTCCTGAATTAAATCTCCCCCCAGGTTGAGGCTGATGCATGGGCTTACTGTACATCCGCAGCCCTTTTCAGAAGCTCTGAGAGGAAAAGCAGTTTTTCAGGCAGGTTGTTAATCAGATAACTTTTGATGCTTGCAACGCTCCCATCATTTACAACTCTGTTCTCTCTTCTCTTTTAGCACTCCTGGTGCACCTTGAGGATCCTCTGAGGGCCGAGTTCATCTTTCAGGAGAGGAAACAAGATTAGACGCTCCATAAAACACAACCCTGTTCTGCTGGAAGTGGGCAGCGGCTGCTGCCTCTGATCCAAAGGCATTTCAGGGCCTTGCGAGGGGCCGTGGCAGGGCCAACCACTGTCTTTGAGGCTCGAGGGACTTTAACCTAGGTGCCAAAAGCAGCCCTGGGCTCTGTGGCTTCTGCTTAAGGCCTGTGGCAAGGCCAAGCCATGCCATGTGGGGATGGTGGGCGGTTTTCACCCTAGATCGTGGCTTTACCAGAAGGTGGGCCTGCTCCGTGCCCGTCCCACGGAGAGTTAACATCAGAGGGCCTGTTTCGCAGCCAGATCGAAGTGCCTGCTTTCCCAGCCATTTTTAGGTCAGAAGTGTTAATTACCCTGACCCAGCTCTTCCAGCCGTGAGCACAATGTCTGCGTCAGCTGGCGCAGCCTTCGTCTTGGTGGGGAAGAGCTGGAGAAGGATCTGCGTAGCTGCTCGGCCACGGGATGGGGCTGGTGGGGGGAGACGGGGCTGAAGCACTCCATATAGGCCTCCTATGCTGGGATCCTTGTGGGTTTTGTCCACCTCTCTCGTTTCCCCACAGCAACACAAAACACAGCAGAAAAGTAATTTTCAGTGGGTTGTGCCCACCCCTGAGCTCCCCTAGCAGTTTTGGGAGCAGGGTGGGTGGCTGACTTTGAGGGAGGGGGTTCAGGTTGCTGTGTTAAATCTCCCCAGAGGGTGTTTGCCTGCTCTGTTTGCTTTGTGACCTGGGAGGGACACACACTCTCCAGTGCAGGGCAAGGCAAGCACACCAAAGCCGGTGCCTATCAGGGAAGGGAGGCAGAGAGGGCTGAGGGCAGGGGACAAGAGGCTGTCCCGAGACCCCCCGCACCTGTGTGTGCGGGGAGATTTCTCCCCTTCCCCCGAAATCCCTACTTTGTGCGCCTCTAATTGTAGGTTTCCCCTAAAGACATTTGGTGTCACTGTAAGGACGGCGTTTCTCTCTCCCTCTATGCCCGTACAGTTATTCTCGCTGTGCAGTCGCTCCGCGAGCCGCCGGTGAACATACCATAAGACACAGATAGAGCGAGACAGACAGACAGAAAGCACACACCGGCCCTTCCTCCTCGCATCCCCACCGCCGACCAGCCGAACTTGCCCCCACCCACACCACCAGCGCCTTCCAGCACCCCACCGTCGGTTTGACCCTCGGGGCTTTTCGGGAGGAAGCTTCTGTCACTTCTTAACACCACCCGCCTGGAAAACACACACACACACACAGCCACACGCAGCCCCCCAAGCCCTCCCGCGAAGGAAGAGGTCCTATTTGTGTGTTTTTTTATTTTATTTTTTATTTTATTATTTTTTTTTTGGACAGCGGAGCTTCAGACTCCAGCCTGAGCAGCCACAATTTCTTAACATGTATTCTCCTTTTAAACCATCTCCTTCCTGCACACGCTCAGTACTCGCAGCTCCGGATCTAACACAACTCCCCGGTCCTTGCCTGCAGGTCCTTTGCTCCCCGTCACTCAGCTGATCCTCATCTTTTTCTTTTATTTTCCCCCCCACCCCCCGGGGTGCTGAGGTGTGTGTGTGTGTGTGTGTGTGCCCGTGTGCAAGGAGGGGGGTGGGGGCGGGGGGGCTTTTTATTTTTATTTTTTTTTAATTTAATTTTATTATTATTATTTTTTTTTCCCGGTGGGGAATTTTTCAAACCGTCTTCATTAGTGTTTTATTTTGCTTCTCTGACTTGGACACTTCTCCCTTGGAGATTTCTTTTCCATGCAAAGGTAGGTGAGAAGCATGCACACCTGGCTAACCTTATGTCTGTCTTGTTTCGCTCCTTTTTGCTTCCCTTCTCGTAGGGGACCCGCGCCCACCCATGTACCTGCATCACCCCTCTTTGCTTTCCTACCTGTTTCCTCCCCGGCAGAAGTAAAGGCTCAGGGTAGACATGTCTGTAATGTGAACAATTCTGGCTTTCCGGAGAGGAAAGTTATTTCCCTGTGCATGCCCAGCTGTCCGTGTGTGTCCGTGTGCGGTGCCCATGTATGTAAGGCTGCCTCTGTTTACCCAACAAGTAGCAAGAATTGATTTTGGTGTGTGATCTGAGCAGGGGTGGTGGAACGAGCCTGTGGCCAGCGATTCACGTCCACGGACAATTAGAGGAGAGAACGTGTTTGTCACACATTTCCAGCATCTCTTTCTACGTGGCTAAAAATGATACAGAGAGCGTGGATAATCCCAGGAATTTGAAATTGAGCCTTGCTTAGTTTGTGATGTTGTGATGGGGAAGGACAGTGGGAAAGAGGAAGGGTTACAAAACCTCCTCCCTGGAGAGGTAACTGTCGGAGACTTGTATATATATAACTTTTCTTTAAACCATCTCACTGGTTAGGGGCTTCTTAGGTTTGGGATATTTTTTTGTTGTTTCTTTGCCAAGTGAGAGTTGGGTCCAGGATTTGGGCTTCATAAATTGCCTTTCCTTGGTTTGTTTGTGATGATTATTGCGTTTGAATTGTGTGTGCAACATCCAAAGTGTCTGAGAAGGGACAGGGAATAGGATGTACTTTAATATAGCAAATGCATCATCTTCTGTACATCACTGGAAGCTGTTGGCTGGAGTCGAGAGGGGGGGGGGAAGAGAAATGGAAAATTAAAAAAAGAAGAGAACCAGAAATAATGTCAGACATCGGTGACTGGCAATTATCTGACATATTTTCTGCCAATACTGTTTTTTGTAACACTCTTGATGGAGACCTTTTGCTTCTTGGTAACAGCAGCTGTGTGAAAAGTACCAGGGGCTTGGAAAAAAAAAAAAAAAGAAAAAAGGAAAAACAACATGCATCATTTCCTTGCAAATTATTACAAAGAAAAATGATAAACATCAAAAAGCAGAACTTGCTCTGCATTTTCTCTCTGCTAATAAGGAGTGTTTTTCTCATTGATCTGGGGGTTGCTAGCGCTTCTGTCTCTCTGTCGCATGGAAGACTGCGATGTTAATTGTCAGTTGTTTCTGCGTGCTGTTGCAGAGCTCTCGGTCTTAAATTTGGGCTGGGGAGTAAGGGTTTGTTACCTTGGGAGAAGGGAGGGGTCTGGAGACCCCCACCCCTTGCTGCTTTCCCTCCAAAGTGTGAACTTCTCTAGCAGCAGAAGGAAACCCGCAGGCTCCTCATCTTCTCAACACCCCACCTGCAAGAAAACTTTGAATTCAGAGCCTCGGGAAGGGAACTGAGGAGTCCCCTTTCTACCCCTTTCCCCCTGACGTTTTAAGGACACCTCCCGAGCATCTCTCACCCACTCCCTCGGCAGGAGGGCAGACACCGGCAGGAGATGGCTCCCCACTGCCTGCAAGGGCTGGTGCTGCTGGGCTGAGAGCATTTATTGCTCTCTTGCCATTGAAATAACACCATAGCTTCGTGGCACGTGCACCGTGAGGCTCCTAAGAGCAGCAGCAGCACTTGCCTGGCGGTGTGGAGCCACCATCCTCTGCCCCAGGGAAGTGTGTGGGGGTCAGACAGGGCTGGATCCGTCCTCTGCCTTGGGTTCCCTTCCTAGCTGGCAGGGAGCGTGGCCTGGCTGGAGGCTGGCAAAAGCAGCTTCCCTGCAGATCTTGGTCTGCAGATCACCAGGATGCACGCATCTCACCGGGAGGTCTCAGGGTGAGCATCCCAGAGGAGAGGGAGGGAGACGAGGGGGGAGATTTGATCTGCCAGCACCTCGTTGGTTTGCCTCGTGGAGCCTGGATGTGCCATGATGCAAAGCAGGGGTAGTGCCAACTCACACAAAGTCTCCCCTGGCTGCTGCCCTCGGGGGCTCGGGCAGTGGACGCGGCTGGAACAAGGCCAGCGCCGCTGCAGCCGTCGAGGAGAAGCGCTGCGGGAGGGGGATGCTGATTCACCAGGAGCTCGCTGCTTGCGTGGGTGTTTCTGGATAGGCACAGTGGCCTCCGCTGTGACATGAGGAGTGTGGCTGGGCTGCTCGTGTGCACCCCTGATGCTGGGCGAGCTTTTCTGCATCCCTGTCCTTGTCTCCTCCAAGAGCTGAGCCTTCCCCGCTGGTCCAGCCCCGAGCATCCTAAAAGTGCTGGCAACACACCTGTGCCCTGAGCTGTGGCCTCTCCTCTCCTCCTGGCTCCTTCCATCCTTTCACCAACCCACTTCACAGCTGGCTGCATTTCTGCTGTCTGATCTGGGCTTGGAGAATATCTGCATCCATGCCCAGTGTGACTTGGTCCTCACCTGCAGTCCTGCGTCACGTTACAGCCCTGTCCCACCCCGCAGGACTTCCCAGACTAAGGGTGGCTCAGGCTGAGCCCTTGCCATCTTTGATTTTGGGAAAATCTTTCAATTCCAGGCTCTGCTGCAAATAAGCCATTTGCTTGGTCAGCTTTTCTTTTTTCTTTTCTTTTTTTTTTTTCTGGAGAAAAAATTGTTGAAACCAATTTCTATTCATTTTCCTCACAGGGAACAAGTATCTACAGCTGGAAACTCATGAAATGCACACGCAGTGTTGGCTCTTTCAAAGGGCTGGCCGCTGATTTAAAGTAAATTTGATCTTTTATTAAATCCAAGTCCTAATCCTGCAAATTTAACCGAGCAGGTGAACGGCTGTGCTTGCAGAGAGCGTTACTAAAACTGCTGGGTCCAACCGATGGGCTCAGAAATCAAGTAGCACAGGTGATTCTGCAAGATCAGATAGTTCCCTCTCTTGGCTGTATATTTTTCACATCCGTAAGATGGATAACACAGGGGGGATTTTACGAGTGTTTAAGTTGTACACAACCCCAGCCTGTTATTGGAAAGCAGAGTGTTTTTTCCCCAGCTATGCAGAGGTGTGTGGTTGTTTGTAATGACCTAATAGAGTCAGCTAATTCAGTTTATTCATCTGTGTCTGAAATGCATACCTTGAAGCTCTTAGAAATCGCATGGTGGCTTGAAAAATGTCTTAGACCAATACCAAATGTATTTAAGCCTTCTAATCATAACTCAGACCACATAAATCAACCCACTAACTTGGTAATAAACTCCTTGCTTTCCTGGTACTCATCAGCCCACCGTATTTGAAGCACTGCGGTGTGCCCTGAAGAGCAATCAGAGCAGTGCCTCAGGGACTAATTGTAATGAGGAGATCTCAGAAAATGCCTCAGTGCTTGCCTGTGATGAGGGGAGCACAGGAGGGAGCTGGTCCCTTGGCCAAGCCAGGCTCTGTCATTAGGGGCTTTGCAGGTCAGAGCCAGCCCGTGGGCGAGCATAGGTGCTGCTGGTGGGAAAAGCTCTCTGGTGTTCTTGGCAGCAGCTGGTGCTGCAGGATCCTGCTCTGCTGTTCCCTGATGTAAAACTCGATGGGGCATCCTGGGGAGGGCTAGCGAGTGGCATTTCCACCTGAGACCCTTGGAGTTTGGGGTTTTGGCCGCGGGGTGGGACAGGATGGAGAGGAGCTGCCAAGCTGTGTGGTGGGAAGGTGGGGAAGGGGATTTTGCAGCTGTGATGTGGAATCTGAGACTCTCTGTGTGGTGCAATTGTTGGAGGGAAAGGAAGGTATTTTATTTTGTTTCTATGAAGTGTAAGAGTTTGGCTGTGGCTAGAAAAACAGCCTTGTACAGGGAGCACAGGTGAGCTTAACCGTGTTAAGCATTTCCCAGGTGTTGTGCCAGGCTCGATGAAACCCCTTGCCACGATGCAGGTTAGGAGCAGACCCTCCTTCAGGCCAGGCTGGCAGGGATGGATGGGACCCTCTTCATTTTGGTGCAGGGTGTGTCTTTGCATGTGCAGGGTGTGCAGTGTGTGCTGCCCAGCACCGTCTCTCCTTCCCTCCCAGCATCAGGACTTGGGACAATGGTGAGGTCCTCAATTACCTGTCTTCCTTCGGCATTTTTTTTTTTTTGGTATTCTGTCTCCAGAGTTGCTCTAAGTTGGCAGTGGGGGTGGTAGGAAATTTGGGAAGGGGGAACATTGTGTGTTTATGGACTTTTTAGGACTGAGTTTTCTTGCAAGGCTGCCTGCTATAGAAAGGGATTGAACTTGGACTACAGGGGTCAGGTGTGGCAGTTGCAGTGGTTTCTATTCAAGCAGCCATCTAAGTTATTTTGTCTTTTTTTTTTTTCTTTCCCTTGGTCACAGCCGGGAGAGAAGAGGACTTTTAAGGCTCATACAAATGAGTAGCAGAGCCAGCAGTGAAATCGTGTGGGATGTGCAAAGCCATTGTAAGGTCTGCCTACTGACCTGCAACCTAACAGCCCATAGGCCTTTGCAGGAAGGCTGCCAGCATTGTCTCCCCTGTGCTTCCAGATGATTCCCATCTTCATAGCCCCATTCCTCTCCCGTATCCCCTCTCTGTTCACTAGCAGAGGCTGGGGTGTCATCGTACTGCACACAGCTTCAGCATCCTTCCTGTTTTTGTTTCTTGGCAGAGTTTGCTCCAAATGTGCATCTGGGTTTATGCAGAGTATCTCCTTTGGAGGCAGGAGGGGAGATGGTAATTTATAGGGAGGGGAGAGGTATAAGTTATAACTGACTTGATGCTCCCCAAATCCCTTAGCGATGTGTTCCCTATAGACGAGCTCCTACCTCTCCCCATCTGCCTTTCCAACCCAGAGGATGTCCTCTCCAGATGTGAGAGGGCTGGAACAAAGCCTGGTGGTGGGGCAGGGTGGGAGCTCACATCCAACGCAGCTCTGTGAGGGGGAGCAGGGGGTCTTGCGGGGTCTCCCTGCAACCTCAAAAAGGGTTGATCCTGGATGTGCAGAAAGGGAAGAGCTTATCTAGCACTGGCCACCGCCTGTGCTTGTACCACCTGCAGCTTCGTGCCCCCATCCCATGTGGGGAACAACCACGGGGCACAAACAATATGTGCACATTTTGCCTCTCCAGCAAGCACTTTGTATTCCAGCTCAAGGGCTGGGGGTGTGAGGACAGCTCTGAGGCCATCTGACAGAGATGTAAAAAAAAAAAAAATAATAAAAAA